GTCAAAGTTTGTAAACTTTGAATTGCAATTGTGAATTAGATGTGCTCTGATGATGTGACAATTAGTGCAATTGCAAAGAAAATGTTTGATAAGTTTAAAAAATATTGGAAGGACATTCATATTATGCTAGCTGTGGCGATTATCTTGGATCCTTTTGTATAAAATGAAGGCAGTTGAGTTAGGAAAACTTATTGTGATTTACTTCAAGAATACCAGAATAGATCCACCAATCTAAAACTAGAGTCTTCTCAAAGTTCATTAGCAACAATATTTGATGAATCACCCAAACCAAATGAATGTATGTTGTATGAATTTCTTAACTCTTCTACTAATGGGCATGGGAAGCCAGAATTGGATCATTATTTAGAAGACAAAGTTTTACCATTTACTAAAAACTTTTGATATTTTGAGTTTGTGGAAGACAAATGGGATAAAGTATCCCACTTTGCAAATGATAGCTAGAGATTTTCTTACTATTCTTATTTCTATAGTTGCATCTAAGTCAGCCTTTAGCACTGGTGGGAGAGTGGTGATTGACTATCGATGTAGGCTTAAACCATACACTTTGGAGGCATTAATGTGCACTCAAAATTGGTTGAAGAATGAAACGAAAGGTAAATAAACTCATTATATTTTTGTTTCATTTGTTTTCTATAAAAAATTATCTATTGTCCTAAGTGTTATATACATTCTTATTTTTTTTTATTTGTGTAGGATCGTGTATAACAATTGAAGATTCAATTGCGATGCTTATTGACACTAAAATGGAAGAAGATGATTGAATTGTTCATGAGATTGCCTTGATGTCAATTTGTAATGTTGTTTTAACTAGTTGTTTGGATATTTATTTTTAATTATTTAAGTTTATGTTGTTGTTGTTTGGATATTTGTATTTGGTTATTTAAGTTTATGTTTTTTGTTTGGATCTTTTTGTTTAGTTACTTAAGTTTATGTCGTTGCAAGGATATTTGCTTTTATTTATTTAAGTTTATGTTTAAGATCATTGTTTTTGATAATTTAAATTTAAATTTTGTTATTTATGTTTTTATTAATTTAATTAGTAGTTAATTTTATGAAATAGGTAGAGAAATATTATTGTATTTGTATACGAGCTCGGGTTCGGGTAATTAGGTACTCATAAAGAAGATTTTAATAATTTTTTATCTAATCGGGTTTTTAAAAGAATTAGGGTAATTATAAAGTAGTGAAAATGTAATAGGGTTAGGGTTAGAAAAGTAATTTTTAAAATTATTTAGGTAGTTAATAGGGTTCGGGTAGTTGATTTTTTATAAAGTTAGGGTTCGGGTATCCTACTCGTTGACAACCCTATTTAATTTTGTAGCCTTGCTAATGACAACGGTCCAAAAGGAGCCATCTTATGATAAAGAATTTCTTTGAGAAATTGATTAGTTGTATTAAGAAAAATCAGTTGGAGTTTGGATCTTTTCTCTCATGAATGTGCTAGAGATAAGCATGAGAATGTTGTTCTCAAGATTGTTGGATATAATTATCTTGTTGGGGTGCAATTTAGATGATTTAATTGCGAGCCAATTGTGTTGTTGAGATGTTGGCTAATGTGATAATAGAATTGTTTTCTACCAATGAATAAGCGAGATGCTAGTGCGAGGCTTTGGTACAGACTTCTAATATGTTTGCGTATGAATATGATATTTGCCTCACCCAATTAAGTTGTTAAGAATTATGTTGTGGGTTAAAGAGGTTGCGAACTAGTAATGAACCTCTTATAGTTAGAGATACAATACTTTGATGTTCTCTTAGACATGAATGGGTGCTAGAGCTTGTGTTAATAATTCCATAGGTTTGGAATACTTAGCTTCTTTCGAGATCAAATAGTAGCTTCAAATTTCAATGGTGAATTGAAAAGGCCGGTTAGTTGATGAGAAGCACTACCAAGCCTATAAATTGATAGAGATGGAGTTTGGTTTAACTTGCGAGAAGGTTTTGGTGGAGAAGGTTTTGATTTCGGTGACCTTACAAGAATTAGATCAAATTTGACTTCTAGAGTTTTTTATATATAATTAGTGAGATCATACTTGAGATTGTTGTTGACTCCATATGTTTTTTGTAATAACAAAATATTCCTCATTTATTAATATTTAATCTTGTTATTTAAGTGTGCAAGATGTAATTTAATACCCTTGACAAAGTTGTTAATTAAAAGCAAGTCAATGAGCTTGCTAAGTTTAATAAAAAGTTAATCAATTAAAAGGCAGAATGCAAGCAATGAACAAAAACATTACCTTAGTAACTGATTATCAAGGGACCTTAATCAGTTAATGAATGGTTGTGTAATAAGCTGAAGTCAAACAGAAATATGCTAGTCAATAATCGGTTAGAACACAAGGTCCTAGTATCTTTAAGCGTTAAAAATAAGTTTGACAAAATAGTTGACCATTGAAGGGAGCCAAAATAGAGAAATTCAAAATTTGAAGATCTTTTAGTTGATTAAAGCTAATTTTAATAGATTATGATTGAAGGAAGTAAAATTTGAATCAGTTAAAGGAAGAGTTAACCAATTAGAGGAAGACTGCTATAAAAGGAAGTGAAAATAAAAAGTTTGTAATCAGTTAAAGACTGCAATAACCAGTTAGAAGAAGTCTGTTGAAGAAGAGAAGTCTAAAGACAGAGAACTCTTAATTAGTTAAAGCCTTTTGTAATTAGTTAGAGCAAATAACACAGTAGTAGGACAATACAAGACAGAAAAGCTATAATCAATTAGAGTTGCCTGTAATTGGTTAGCCAAAGTCTATTTGCCTTTTTGAATTTAAATATTAGAAGATAAAATAATAGCTAGAAATGTATCAAAGTTGTTTTTAACTGCTAGAAACTGTTTACAATAGAAAAATCTGACTCCTCAAGTATAAAAAGAAGCTCCAACGGTCAAAGAAAGAAGATTTGAAGAGAAAAGAGCTACTTTGAGCTAAAAGCAAAATAAGCTTCACCAAAAACATTTGTTTTTCATTCCTAGTCTAGAAAAAGTGTTTGAACTTGATTTTAATCTGTCCAAACTTGTAAAGGTACTTAGTTGCACTTCTTTTTCTTCTCTTTCTTGAGAAATTAGAGTGTGGGAAGCACTCTAAAGCTCGTTGTAAAGGATTAAAGCTTGGGTTAAAAGCTCACTTTGTAAAATCTTAGTGGAAACTATTAATTTTACTAGTATAGTGAAGTTGGGTTGAAATCCTTAATTGGAATATAAAGGTAGTAGATGTAAGTCAAGGAGACCAAACCACCATAAATACTCTTGCATTGTCCACTTTTTTTTACCCTTCCTTACTTGGTGTCTTGTAATTCTAACAAGTTTTAATCTTTCCCTTCATCTAGTTGATTAAGAGCTCTTCAAGCTCTAAAGGGCTAAACAATAAATTTTTTAGTGCTATTGACCCTGTTTTAGCACTCCAACGAGACCAACAATTGTAAATCTTTAGATTTAAACATGAAATGTCAAAGATGACACAAGATAGTATTTTTTACTATTAATAAATGTTGAGTGCCTTGGTGAAATTTTGATTTCAATTATACACTTAAGGTGAAGTGGCATTTCAAAAAATACAAAAAGGATAGTTGTTCCAAATGGTGTGGCTTTGATTTATGTGAAAGAAAGAAAAGAGATTACTCAACTTAATTACAAAAATTAATATTTGAGCAAGGAGTTCGACTGACCCGTAGGAACTCTCACGCATGAACTTTGGCAAAACCTAACTTTCCACTAGGGGCTTGCAAGGATGATGGTGTTGTTTGGCTTGTGATAAAAAAAATATACACATTAATGAAAGTAATTAGAAAAAATAAAATTAAATATGGAATTAGAATTTAATAAGATTAAAAGATGACACATAACTAATTAAGTATCAATATAAATAAACATTATAAGATTGTTAATACTATGCTCACACGTAATTATACTCTCAAACTTAACTTATATCATACATCAAAATCTATTTTTTTAATAAATTTTTACGTCAAACAGTTAGATTTTCAAACTCATACATTATTAACAACATTTGTAACCAAAAGTGCATTTTTCAGCCATAAACCACAAGTTACAAATTACTGATGAAAGCATCCTTTCCTACGTTTTATATCAAGCTGGAGCCTTACACGTTATTACCCTGTTCCGAGTCATTAAAATAGGGCAAAACATAGCTTTAGTTTTCCACCGAAGTTCCAACTACTAATCACCAAGTTCCAAATTACCCATGAAAGCATCATTTTCTAATGATGTTTTCAATCAAGTTATAAACCTAAGTTTTAGACCAGACCAAACTCAGCCGTCACTTGCTTCAAACTCGAGAATTTGTGGACCAACTTTAGGCCCAAAAGTGACCAATGACACATTGTTATTAACATAGGATTCGGTACTTTATATTTAATTAGGGGATAGATTTGGATAAGATTTTCAATACTCAGACTGGGTTCGGGTGAGTTTCGACTTTATTCTTAAAATACTCTAAACCCAATTATATATATATATATATATATAAACATTATATATAATATTTCAAAAATTTATAATTTGTAGGATTTGAACGATTATCTTCTTGATCTTCAAAATAATTGTTATATCAATCAACTTTTTTTTATGAACTAATAAAGAAAAACCTTTTTTTAAATAAGCATAAATTTTATTTTTTTATATAATTTTAGTGATTTAAGATCTTATTTGAGTTATTTAATCGACTATTTAAGAAATTCAAATAATTAATGGATATTATTGTATTATTGAGATTTAATTTTAAATAATATTTTATAATTTTATTTGAATTTTTAATAAAATTTGAATACATTCTTAATTAAATAAATTAGAAATAAAATATTTAAAATAAAATAAATATATTATTACACTTAAATATTTAATTCATTAATTAATATATTATTCCCTTCTAAAAAACAAAATTCGACCCGTTCTCCCAGTCTTAAAGTAATAATAATAACATTATGCTACCCATTTACATCTCTATAGTTTCTCATTAGGGCCCAAGAAATTTGCATGTTGTTCAAAAAACTCGCATGTTACAAAGTTGCTACCTCACCACCGACCAAAACATGAACTAGTGGGAAGGCAAAAAAGGTTAGAGAAATATGTAAACGAGTACTAAAATGCGGTCGCGTCTCGTGTCGTCTATTCGTATTCCGTTGACCCCTCTCTGCAAAGCAGGTTGATCTGACCTTTAATTAAACAAACTGCTTTCTCCGGGTCTGCTACTGATACAATCACCGTCGTTTCCATGGCCACCCCCGCGGATGCTCAAGACCAACCAGACCCTAACGAAAACCCTAATCCCGCTATACCCCAGCAGCAAGAAGAATCTTCTAAAACCCTAATCTTAGAAACCCTTCAAGCACAAGACCAATGCAATGATCAAGAAGACCCAATCGAAGAAGAAGGTAACCAAGACGATCCAGATTTGCCTGTTCCCTCATCTCCACCAAACACTGACCTCCAAGTCACCACCGCAGCCACTGTCACCGTTGGCCCTCGCCGTGGCGGCGGTACTAAACGCAAGAAGACGGCCACGAAACGGCGCGCTCAGAGAAAAAGTCCCAGAAGAAGCTGGAGATACTGACTGAAACCCTCAAGCCCATTCCTTTTATCCCCAACAAAACCCTAGATTTCTCATCGCACGAAAAGCTCCTGAAGCGACTAGGGTTGTGGGATTTTGTTCATTTGGATTTCGATGGAAGCGTGCGAAGCGATTTGATCGGGCAGTTGATCGCCACTTACAACTCGCAATCGCGTTGTAGCTACGTTAATGGGTGTCGCATTGGGGTTAATCGGGCCGACTTAGCCCGTGCTTTGAAGTTGTCTTGTGAAGAAGGAGAAGGACAAGGATAGCATTGTGGAAGTTAAAGAATCAAAGGAATCGATATGCTTCGTTGAGGAATTTGTGTCAAATTGGGTGCTTTTGCACGAAGATACGTGGATGATGCCAGTGGAGGTGTTGAACTGGACCAAAATGATTAAAGAAGGCCATTTCGAGAAGGTAGATTGGGCTGCTTTGATCTGGTTTATGGTGGAAAAAGAGCTTATGGCTGCCCCTAAACTAGGAAATTGTTACTATGCCTCGCATATGCAGTGTTTGATAAAATTCCAGAGAGAAGAGTTGTTGCAGGAGGAACCAAAAATGGATGTTGATGATGTCAAGGAGGAAGAGGAAGAGCCTAATATTCATGGGGATGTCAAGATCGCTGCTGATGGGATTGATGAATTTAATGGGGGATCACACTTGGAGGAGCATAATATTGAGTTGAGTCTTGGTGGGCAGGATAATTCGATGAATAAAGATGATGTTAAGGATGATGTTGAAAAGGAGGCTGTTGGGGATGAAGATGCTATGAATTGTGAGGAAAGTAAAGGGGAGAACATCAACTTTGGTGGATTTGGATGGAGACAGCTATATGGGTGTGGGTGGGGATCATTTCTTACGAAAGTGTAATCTTGGTGATGTTGCTTTTCGCTCCTGCCTCTCCTTTTATCCTCTTTTCTTTTCGTCTGTTTCGATTTGGAACCTATAGTGCAAAAGCAGAAACAGAGACAAAGAGCAAGACAAGGAGAGAGAATGACACCAAGGAGTGTAGTATGGAGCAGCGCGAGAAGAGGGTTCACGGAAGCATGATCACGCCCAGCTAGAGTAAAGAGGAAGAGGAAGAAGAGGAACAAGAACCACATCATGATGAAGGATTTCCTATTTCACCTAAAGGTGACACTTTGGAGGTTGTAAATTCAACAAATCTTCTTGAAGCAATGGAAACTGCTGATCTTCCTTTTACAACAGGGCTGCACATTCGTGATAATTCATCGGGTGATTTTCTTGTGTCTAGGGGTGATAGTCAGACGGTTCCTGGTGTCTCATCATTTCTGAGTAATGGTAACAAGAGAGAGATTGGTCCCGATAATGATTTTTCTCATCATTCTTTGAATGGGAGTAATAAACGGTTGAGAACTGATGGGCAATGGGTTGATAAGTCATCTGATTTTGATATGTGCATGGAGCAAATGCAGCATTGGATTGGTAAAGCAAGAATGTTGTATGCTGCAAAAGAACAGGCATGTGGAGATTCGAGTATGCATCAACAAATGTTGCTTGATGAGTTGCAACGTAGGGAAAGCATTATTGAACATTTGCATAAGGCCAAGTATGAAGAGCAGCACAAGAGACAGGTGGAGGTTTATAGGCTTGAGCGTGAGCTCTATATGATGGAAAATCTGTTAGATGGATACAGAAAGGCTTTGAAAGAAACAAACCGAGCTTTCACTGAATACAGGGCACGTTGTCCGCTTCCTGATGAACCACTTTACAAGGATGTTAGCGGGTCTGGGGGGCTAGTTCTGAGCACTATGGAACTTGAAAAGCAGCGTCTAAAACAAGAAGAAGAAGAGAGGCTTAACAGACTGTTTATTGAGAAAAAGATTAAGGACTTTGAAGCAGGGTGGATTGGCAAATTTGATGTACATGAGGATACAGTTTCTCTGCTGGGTAAGAGATTGACTAATGCTGAGAAGGATGCGAAACTTCTCAAGGAGCGTTTTGCAAATCGCAAGGTCTCAGATGCTTCAGAATGTGTTCCAAATGAATTGTGAATGTATAGTCCGTAAGTTGTCATTATGCTTTCTATGCAAATGAAAAACTACTCTTATTTGTATGTTAAACAACATGCTTCATGTGCAGCATCTGCTTTGTGCATGATGGAGTCCTTAATTTTAATTGGATATTTGCCTTGAAACCCTGAAATGGTGACTGAGACCTTAGTGGATTTTAGAAAATAATTTTTTTAATAGTCCTAGAAAAAGTAGAAGTTTATTGTGTGGTAATTTGTCCACTTTCCTTGTTAATTTTTTTGATAGATACCTATGCTATGATGAATATGAGGATTATATCCTGCCATACTAGTAAGCTGGTTATATGAGCAAGAGCTGGAAAGTGGATTGGTGTAGAATAAAGTCTGTGTTTCCTTTTCTATACAGTTTTCCTCAAATTTTACTCAACTGCTAGTACCCTACTTTAGATTGGGGATGTATATTCATTATTAGCCAATCATTTATTCATTTTGGAAATCTGTATGGCAGAGTTTATTTGTAAAGTTACCAGCAGATATTTCGTGAGTTTAGCTGCTTGAAGTTGATCCTGGTTCAACTTCCTGATTTCTTTTAGGACTTTCTTGGAATATCCATAGTTTAGAAGATGGTTGCTATGATCGATCTCTTACAGTATAGGTTAGATAAGGACTCTACTGGCTTTTATAACCTGTTAAAACTAGTTGTTGTGCTACAGGAATGGGGATTTGGAATCAATAAGTTGGGTACACATGCTTTGCAGATCTTTATATTAGGCGATAGCTAATTAAATATAGAAAAAAGGCTTAGTTGAGTTCTCTAGTAGCACCACAATTGTTCGGAATCTAAAGTGGGGGCAAAGTTTGAATATAAAGTAGGGATACAGTCAATGGAGGAAGACTTTGAATTTAAAATAGGGACATAGTCCACTGTGATGAGTCAATGGGGATATAGTTCATAATTGTTGGGCTTCTTGATTGAGTTAGGAGTTTTCATACTAGACTCGAAAGATACCTAGCATTTATACACTAGGCCAGTTGTTTTAAATCAAGTATAATATCTAGTTGAAGTAAAATGGTGAAGCCTTTGAAGTTTGCTCTATCAGCTGCAGCCTTATCTGCCAGCATTCCTGGAAGGTAGATGATGGCCTAGTCAAACAGAGACGAGGAAGGGTTTGTTAGCTACCCAACTCAAGCTTGACATGCGACTTGCGATGTTCTAATTGTCAACTCAAATGTCCTCATGAGTTGAGCCCAGCACTAGGGGATGGTGAGTTGATTGGAGTACTCGCAAGTAATTTGATGTGATTGTAGTACTAAATCTATATTACATGAATATAGTGCTCTGTTATAAGTGATAAACGGACATGCAAAGAGCTCTGTTACATGTCACACCTATATTTTACTCGATCTATGGACAACCGACACATTGCAAGAGGAACTTGCAGCAACCCAAGAGAATAGGTCGAAGTAGGAGTTTGAGTTTGAGTTGGCAAAACAAGAGCCCCCAACTAGTAGAAACATTTTACAGTAGAAATAGAAGGGCTAAGTCAATGCGCATGGTCCTAAAGATCACTTGAAAATCTGCGAAAATGGAAGCAGTAGTTGTTTTAATGCGTTAGTTGCTATCTCTCAGTCGCTGGAGGCATTCTCTTACCAAAATATTAGCTCACAAAGGGGAAAATAACCGTCGGAGGAGCATCTACGTCAAGAGGAAGGCGTCACAACAATACATATCTTAACACATCAATTCAACATTTCTCAATGTAAATCAGCTCCAAGCAGCTCAATTATCTAGCCTCTTGTAGTTTCTAACGCTTATTTTCCTAGCTTTTCAGCTACTGTTTTCAAGCTCTTAGTAAGCAATCCCTAAGGTAATGGGTCCTTTATTGTTCACAGACTTACCTTCATATGTTTAATAATATAACCCCATAGCCATCTCTTCTAAGTATCCATCGCTAAGATCACTTTAAACAATTTCAAAGCATAGAATTCCACATATAGGGTGCCCTAACGAGAAATTTTGCACAAAATTTTTTTTATAAATACTTGACTCATAATATTCACATAATCTCATGAAATTAATGTTCTATTCCAAAGCTCAACATTTTTCCATTCCAAGGCTCAACATTCATAATATTTACATATTATCATAAAGTAACTTGCCACACAATGGCTTAACATTCCAGTGCAAACAAATTTATTTATAATCAAAATAAAAGATAGATTCATCAGTGAAACATGACCAGACTCGCTACACATCAAGAGGTTGTTGGACACTTACCGATGAAGGATGAATGGATTACATTTTTGTGACAATGACTGCTAACATAAGCATGTTATCATTAATCTGCAACAAAAATAAATAGAGAAAAGGACAAGTAAAGGGATTAGAGTATTTCATAAATATGTAGTATTAAACACATATGAGTCATAAATCTTTCCCCATTTTTGTAATAATCATGAAACATAATAGATAAGCCTCATTCAGTATTACATGGAAAACAACTTTGTATAAACCTTTGGAAATCATTTAACTTTGAAATTCTCATCAAATTCACTTAAATAACCTTTTCTGCAATGAATCTATTGATACATTCTCGAATGCATCGATACCTTTTAAAAATCTATCAATACTTTAGTGAAATGTATCGATACATTTTATATAAAAAGCTTACTGAAGCATTCTGTTTAGAATGTGTCGATATATACTCCATACATTGAACTCAGAATTCTAGATTTCTTGGTAAAATTCTCCATTACTGCTAATTATAAGTCCTTTGACCACTTGGGACTAATTATAAGGCTAATTTTTGTTTAACCAATCTAACATTCGTCATATAGTAGATTTACACTATAATAAATACTTGATTAACGTAACATGCAAACATTTCTAACAATGTTACAACATTATCAACCATAAATCCTTAATTCATACAATGTGATGGTTTGACCCCTATTAACTTTTGACTGATAGTTTTTAACCTTATTGCACCTTGGAATGGAAATGTATGAACCTCATTGCACCTTGAGCATTAATGATGCATCATAGGAGTGGAGTCATCACTACACCCCGAGAATGGAACTATACTTCACTCAAATCAAGTACTCATACTCATATTACTTTGTATGAGGAAAATACCTCACATGCTAGCATATAATATCAATCGTACATGCTTAATTATCTTAGTAGTATATGAAATCTACATCATACACACTTTCTCATGGCATTCATCATGCATACTTAATCACCTCATATGGTATATGAAAAATGTATCATATATACAATCTTATGGCATACATCATGCATATTTAATCATCTCCTATGGTATATAGAATTTACATCATATACACAATCTTATGGAATGTATCATACCAAAAATGCAGGTTATAACATTTATAAATAAGTATACAATATCTTGTACCCACATTAGTTTGAAGATTGGACTAATCCAATGGACTTCAAACATAAGGTGCTTGTCTCCGTTATTGAAAACTAATACATAGTAGAATATTTTTATACATAATAGATTCATAAATGTTTTGAGAATCATAGTGTCAATCATATCACAATCCCTAATAATTTATTTTTTAGAAAACCATTTTCATTCTTGAACCTCAAATCTTTTGATAAACCATTTTCAAGATATCATTTCAACATACATAAATAATCATTTCCATATAAATCATGCTAGTTTTACATATCAAATTAATTGAAAGTGGTGTATCCACTGATCTAATTGGAGAGTCAATTTCCTAGCTCTAATTACAAATCCGTTTTGGAAAAATCCATGGAGTTTTCAAGCGTTCCTATCATACAAAAATCATCACAATCATTACCTAGAGTAATAATCTCATAATAATCACCCTACATAGTTTCAAAACTATTTAAATTCAACTAAATCTATATTTCTAACTTAAACCTATTGCTACTCAACCAAATAAATGCTTAAAAACCCATAAATCTTTCATCTTTACCTTAGGTGAGCTTAGATGCTTAAGAAAAACACAAAGTCTTGAACTGTAGCAATCTAGAGAAATATGTGGGCATTAAAACACTATTTTAGTTTTGGAAACCCATGACCAAAAGATTTCAAAGCTAAAAATGTCACATTTTTCCATAAAAACCCAAAACTAAGCTTTAAAATAATAAAAATGGAGTTTTTTTTTGGTTAAAAATGGGTTGGGAGAACCTAGGAGTTGAGGGTTTACCTTGCAAATGTGGCTAAGGATTATTAACGCTTGAAAAATGTGAGCTATTTATAGTTTTAAGTGTAAAAATACCTTTTTACCCCTTATATTTTTCTAAAAGTGATGAAATGTATCCATACATTTGGGCCATGTATCTATATATCTAGGTTTTGAAAAAAATTATATTGATACATTATGAACATGTATTGATACTTGATCATATGCATCGATACATTATAAACATGTATCAATACATTTGAAACAGAATGCAGTTTTGAGACAGATTATCTATAAAATCTACTTAGCTTATTTACATTAAATACCATTTAAGTAAATATCCTAATTTTTGCTTCTTTCCTTTTTACTCTGTATTTACTTAAGATATTTACTGTAAGAAAGCAAACAACCTCATTTGGATTCAATAAAAATATAAAAAAAATAAAAATATAAAAGAATCAAAATATAAATTTTGTTTTCAAGAACAAAATTGAAAAAGTTTAACTGAAAATTAAATTTACGGCTCTTATTTATAATAGCAAACATACTCTAAAATTTTTTTTTAAAAAAATCAATTTTGGTCATCTAAATATCAAGGGAATAATTATCATCATTTTTTATTTTCAAAAATTTGTTCTATAAAAGTAACATATTTTGACCCTTTTCAAAATTAGAAAATTTTTTACTTTAAAAGTGACAAACAACCAAAAGTGTTAATGAATTCTTTTGAAGGTTAAAACTAAGTTTGATACTCAAAATATGTAACCTATATATTCACTAAAGGATTTCCTAACTTATCCTTTTACTCAAGGTAGGATTTCACACTCTTTACGCTTATGAAAATTTGTCCTCAAATTTTAATAATGGACTAACTTTCGCCAAATAGGTGTGGGTACTTTGCTCACATGTTATCTTCGGCCTCTCAAGTCAACTCCTCACTCAAGTGATTGTACCATTGCACCTTAACCAATGCTACCTCTTTAGAGTGTAA